TAGGTTCTGCTGTAAAAGAAGGTGCTGATGAAGAAGCTGCTGCTGATGAAAAAGCTGCTGCTGATGATGATATTGATCCACCTTCACCACCACCTCCTGCAACAGAAGCTCAATTGTTTGCTCAAGCTCCTAATGCTGTTACAACTAAATTTAAGCTCAAGCTCGTAATATTATTACAGCAAGTCCCACGGTCTCATTGTGATATTATTAGGAAAAAAAATTATTGTAATGAACCTAAAATGCAGGTTCTGCTGTAGAAAAAGCTGATGAAGCTTCTGATGATGATGATACCGATCCTAGTCCACCACCACCTCCTCCACCAATAGCTCAATTGTCTGCTTAAGCTCCTAATGCTGTTACAACTCAATTGTCTGCTCAAGCTTGTAATACTGTTACACAGGTTCGATAGTCCCATTGTGTTATTGTTAGGAAAACAATTATTGTAAAGAACCTAACAATGAAGGTTTTGTTGTATAAGAAACTATTGTAGAAGAACCTGATGAAGAAGCTGCTGATGATAATAATACTGATCCAAGTCTACCACCACCTCCTCTACCAGCAGCTCAATTGTCTGCTCAAGCTCCTAATGCTTTTACAACTCAATTATCTGCTCAAGCTCGTAATACTATTATAACAGGTCCCATAGTCCCATTGTGTTATTGTTAGGAAAATAATTATTGTAATGAACCTAACAATGCATGTTTTGCTGTAAAGGAAGCTATTGTAGAAGAAGCTGATGATGATGATAATACTGATGCACATCCACCACCACCTCCTCCATCAGCAGCCCAATTGTCTGCTCAAGTTTCTAATGTTGTTACAACTCAATTGTCTGCTCAATCTCGTAATACTGTTACAGCAGGTCCCATAGTCCCATGTGTTATTATTAGGAAAATAGTTATTCCTGGATTCACAATTGTGGAAAGGAACTTTGGATGATTTACAGCGTCAGGATACCCTTGAGTTTCCAAAGACAATGCTGAACGAGGCTGATACACAAATCCACCTTTCTCTTTTACATCTATGATCCAATTTACAGTGAAATGCACAAGGCGCAGTCGCTTGGATATTCATTACTCTTCCTGATTTCTTGTCATAAACTATTGCCACTGGTTTCATTTTCTTATTGCTGTCTAGTACATAGTTTCTATCATATCCAATTTGGACTTCATCGATCCTGCTCCCTACCTTACATTTTGTCCCGACAAATTTAGTATTTACTAATAATCTTTTATAATTGTTGTGGCATGATACATAGTATGTTGCGATACATGGTAGATGATACACAGTAACTTAAAATTGTTAAGATTGAAAGGGAGAAAAAAATTAATCATTTCAATTTGTTATCTAAATCATCTTAAATTACGGTAACAGTTCATTAATAAGCATTAATTCAGCACGTAATATGATAACAATTTCAAATTTTGAAAATTCAAGATTATATCATCTAGTTTGAAGACATTTTTATGAACATCCAGTTATTAAACTTATTGATTGATACATGATAACAATTTTTAAAAACTCGTGATACATAGAAAATCATATGATACACATCAAATTCAGGTATCAATGCATCGTCTAAACACTATAACACACTGAGTCGATATGTATCAGCAAGCACATTTGATGGGCAGATATTAAACTTATTGACTGAAACATGATAACAATTTTCTAAAGCTCTTGATACATAGGAAATCATATCATACACATCTAAAGCATGTATCAATGCATCGACTAAGAACTTAACGGGAGAGAATAACTAAAAACGTGATGGACTAAGAACTGAACGAGAGAGAAATTGTCCAGATTTTTGAAATTTCAAATTTTTTAAAATTTGAAATTCAAAATTTCAAAATTTGGTGTTTTAGTTAATTAATAATTCAAAATCCAAAAACTGATTTAAAAGGTTGAGTGTTTTAATGGAGAAAATTCAAAATCCAAAAACTGATTTAAAAGGTTCAGTGTTTTAATGGAGAAAAAATAGGCATTAAAATGAGTAATTGTGTATTATAGGAGAGAGAATGTTATGTATCTATACACTTTATACTAAAATTAAAAAAAAGGGAATTATGTAATATTTTAAAAAAGAAGGGAAAATCAGAGAATATAAAACTTATAGTTGTGTATTTAAGTTATTTTTCCATATATTTATATAAAGTAAGAATTTCGGCCCTATGATGTGCGTACCTCAATGATTAGCAAACCTATTTGTCGCAGTTTTTTTTGGAGTTTCCCCCTATATTTCTGTTGAAATGAATTTTAATTAATTAAATGCAATATGCAATTTCCAGTACTTAACCGTTTATTCTAATTAAGGCAATAATAATTTATGAATTCTAATAAATTAATGATTAAGATGAGAAAGATACCGTTTCATATTGTAATTGTAATTTGTCATGCTTAACTGTTTCTCTAATTAAGGCTAAAATAATTAATGGATCCTAATTAATAAATGTGTAAGGAGAAAGTATATAATGATAAATCTCAGAAAACTTAGTTAATTATGATATCAATTAATGTCACATAAGATTCAATTGAGAAAAGAAAAGAATTTTTATTAAAAAAATTCTAAACCCGAGAGCAATATCATTCACTATACAAATTATCTTTTTATGACTAATGGGGTACATTGGACTTTTTCTTTCTTTTGTCTTTCTAGAATTTTCCTGGACAGAGAGCAAAAAGTAAAAGGTTGCCTTCCTTTCGTCCCAAACGTCAAGGAAAATCCTAAAGCCGATTAGCAACGAATGTTTGCAGTCTTTGTAGTACAGTAGCGGATCATAAAAAGCATTGTGATAATCCTTGTATAATGAAAAACTACTTTGTTACACGTACATATGAGCTGATGGTAAATCATTAGGGATATGACTTGGTGAAAGAAGTAGTACTTAAAAAACATGAAATCAACTCAACGGATTTGAAGGTGTGCATATCTACAAAAATAGTAGATATTGAACGAATGAATGAATTTGCCAGTGTGATTTTCGCGTAAGTTTTGAATATTCTTATAGTTTTCATTTTTATGTATAATGTATAATGATTTTATATTTAGAAATCCAAATCTGGATTCCGATTCGAATGTACCTCCGGATAAGATTGATAGAGCTTATCATGCTGGAAAAGCTCGGAGAAAAGGAGATTGTTCTTCGGTGAATCCTGTTCAAGAAGGAGTTTCAAAGGCTCCGGCAGCTGATACTGTAGGTTACATTAGGTCCCATAGTCCATTTTATTATTGTTAAGAAAACAACCATTGTAATGAACCTAAAAATGGTTCTGTTGCTGTAGAAGAAGCTGCTGATGAAGAAGCTACTGTTGCTAATGATAATGATCCATCCCCTCCACCAGCAGCACAAGCTCGAATACTGTTATAGCAGACTACAGCAGGTCCCATCCATTGTGTTATTGTTAGGAAAACAATTATTGTAATGAACCTATCCATGCAGGTTTTGCTGTAGAAGAAGCTATTGTAGAAGAAGCTGCTGATAAAGAAGCGGATGAAGAACCTACTGCTGATGATGATACTGATCCACATCCACCACCACCTCCTGCACCAGCAGCTCAATATTTTGCCTAAGCTCCTAATGCTGTTACAACTCAATTGTCTAATCAAGCTCGTAATACTGTTACAGTAGGTCCCACAGTCCCATTGTGTTATTGTTAGGAAAACAATTATTGTAATGAACCTAACAATGCAGGTTCTGCTATAGAAGAAGTTATTGCAGAAGAAGCTGATGAAGCTGCTGATGAAGAAGCTAATATTGCTGATGATACTAATCCATGTCCACCACCACCTCCTCCACCAGCAGCTCAATTGTCTGCTTAAGCTCCTAATGTCGTTACAGCTCAAGTGTCTGCTCAAGCTCGTAATACTATTACAACAGGTCCCATAGTCCTATTGTGTTATTGTTAGGAAAACAATAATTGTAATGAACCTATCATGCAGGTTTTTTTTGTATAAGAAGCTATTGTAGAAAAAGCTGATGAAGCTACTGATGAAGAAGTTGCTGCTGCTGAAGATACTGATCCACGTCCACCACCTCCTCCACCAGCAGTTCAATAGTCTTCTCAAGCTCATAATGCAGTTACAACTCAATTGTGTGATAAAGCTCGTAATACTGTTACAGCATGTCCCACAGTCCCTTTGTGTTATTGTTAGGAAAACAATTATTGTAATGAACCTAACAATGCAGGTTTTGCTGTAAAAGAAGCTATTGTAGAAGAAGCTGATGAAGCTACTGATGAAGAAGCTGATGCAGTTGATGATACTAATCCATGTCCACCACCAACTCCTCCACCAGAAGCTCAATTGTCTGCTCAAGTTCCTAATGCTGTTAAACTAAATTGTCTGCTCAAGCTCGTAATACTT